CTGAGGGTGAGAACGTAGCCGAAGATCAACACGCAGAGATCAGTGTTATGGCTCTGCATGCCCGCACAACTCACCCTCAGATATGCTTTTGAGGTACCCGTAAATAAATACATAATGGCTTAGAGGGCATACTGCATGGAACTCATGAGACCTACATTGCATACCCTTCACATGTATCTTATAAATCCTTGCCTACATGTATACATAATTTAAATATTAATGTATTACATCGTACACATCGTTTATATTGTAAACGGGTTTGGGAAATCAATGACAACTAATTTTGTAATTTTATTTTCCGAAAAAAGACATAAAATTCACACCCAATCTGTCACAAGGTGAACTAAAATTGTCATTTGCACACTTTTTCAAGGGGTGCTCGGGTAAGCATTCACCTCCCTAAAACACATGATTTTTGAAGCTGAGTACTTAGGGTGTTAAGTCAGATGAGTAGAGTAATGAAATGAGTATTACCTTGGAGACGTATGTCATATTCAGAGCACCAACAGGTGCTGAACCTTTCGGTAAATTCTACAGGAAATGAAACAAAAATCATGTACATTAAATTAATACTGTTAACATGTTTTCCAATAACAATTATGAAAGAATAAGGCCAAACTTCAAAGGCAATCCGTGTCCAGTGTTTTGATTAACTGTCACAGAGGCATTTATGTAACTTTATTGCATCTACAACGGTCGTTGGAGTGTCTAGGAAAGTGCCTGGGGATGTTGCAAATTCCCTCGGTAATTACCTACCGGGTGCGAGAGTTTGGTGTATGTAAATATTCAGCTGTAAATCTAAACTGAATTTGTTACTGGAGACTGTCAAGAGGATAGCGAAAACACTATGGAGGTTCATTTCTTGCCATGACAGATTGAATGGCAGAAAGTGCCATGATGTTACTCCAGTTATCTTCAATTCTTAAACACTCATGACAACTTACTGCAATCACATCATACCAACCCTACCACCACTAGATCCAAAGAACAACTGAGAACCAATGTATGTTTTGTACAGACATATTCTACAAACTCAAGGTATTTAGTTATAACAAAAGCATGTTAATCTGTCAAATTTTCAGTATGCCAATTACACTACTGTCACATTTCATCCTAAATAAAGTGACACAGTCACCAAACACACTAGAATTCTAAGCATGTTGTGAACATCACATGAAAGGAATTTAAAGGGTGTACATGATCAGAACATGATTATAATGGTTTATTTAATACTTTTATCAACAGATATGAATCAGATGATCAGTAGCTTTTAGTGTTTAAGCAGTACAGTCGTCATGAAGCACATGTTCGAATTTAAACAAGTCATTGAAAATGACACAGTCGGACTCAGTGAGTCCCCGTTAACTTTTTGAAAGTTCTCTTTGTGCTCATCATATTAAAGTGGAGGGGTTGTTGCAAGCATGTCCTTGAAACTTGAGTCCCAAGTGGCATATACAACAGATTGTTTATTTACATCGAATTTGAACATGTGCTGCCTGAGGACCCTCCCGTTTAAGACATAGCAAAGAAAAACATAGATCACAAGTGAAAGCATGTCCAAGTTATCACATTTTAAACAAACAAGATAGCTGCCAGTCGGCCATATTTTATCAAATTGCAAATTGAATTGACATGTACATGTATCCATTTATGACATGCTAAATATCAATGAAAATGATACATGGGGGACAGAGATATAGTAATATAGCCAAAAATAAAAACAGCCGTTATTCTGCCATCTTTGATCTGATTATGAAACAAAGCGACATGTATCATGTATGTGCCAAATACGAATGAAAATGGTACATAAATCTTGGAAATATAGTAGTAAGGCCAAAAAGTCAGATGGCTGTCAATCCGCCATTCTTGATCCGATTTTGAAACAAATTGTAATGGACATGTATCCTAACATGTATAAGGTATGTGCCAAATTTGAATGAAAACTGACTAAGCATGTCCAAGATACCACATTTAAAAAAAAAAAACAAGATGCCTGCCAGTCGGCCATCTTTGATCCAATTGCGAAAGAAATTGTCATGGACATAAATCCTAACATGTATAATCTATGTACCAAGTTTGAATGAAAACTGACAAAGCATGACCATAATACAACATTTTCAAAAAACAAGATGGCTGCCAGTTGGCCATTTTGAATCAAATCGCTAAACCACTACATATGCATATGTCCAACATAAAGTACTAGGCACATGCAAAGAATGAACAGAATTGGTCCAAAGGATTCTGAAATATGATATATGACAGATGCCTGGAGACCGAATTATCCCCGTTTTCGGACAATGCATTGTATACAATGCTATGGTCCCATATCGAACATGACATGACTGTAGAAAAAAATAAATAAAAATATTATTTTTTGAGCCAATGTTTGTCAATTTAAGTGGGATCATTAGCCAGTGTGACTTGCATTAGATCTTATCCTTGTACACACATTACAATTATGATGTATATGGAACTGGTTGCTACGTCTTTTTTTCTGTCCTGAATTATCACATTTATTAACATTCAACAGTGTGTAGAATGTGCCTCTCCCACAAAACAGGATAGGTGACGTAATAAAGTTTTGAAACTCATCAATACAGTGAATTTCATAAAGGCATGAATATTTGTTTTTTTATTAACACATCACTTGATTGACATCTTGTATCTGATCAGCAAACGAGTATTGCACATATTGAGAATTATTGCTCTGGAACAGCATTAATTAAAACCAAATGGCCACTAGTCAGCCATTTTGAATACATCTATATATCTATAACATGATGTATAACGAATATATAAAATTTGAACAAATCAGTCAAAGCATATCAGAGATATGACTCTAGAAGTGCATTCCTTGAAACAAAACGACCGCCAGTCAGCCATTTTGAATCTGATCTGAAAAATAAAATAAAGTGCATCAGGAACCCATAATCTGTAATGTATGTACTACGTTTGAACAAAATCCGTCCATAATTTATTTTTAGCACAAAAATGGCTGCTATTTGGCCATTTTGAATCAGATCGTCAAATATATAATATATAAAATATATAAAATTTGAACATAATGAGTCAAAGCATGGCAGAGATATAGCACTAGAACTGCATTCATTAAAACAAAATGGCCACCAGTCAGCCATTTTAAATCTGATCTAAAAAATAAAATGACGTGCATCAAGTTCCCATAATGTCCAACGTATGTACCAAGTTTGAACAAAATCCATCAATAAATGCTTGATTCATTCGGCCATCTTGAATCAGATGGTGAAACAAATTGATGTGTTATATGTATAATATTATGTATGATGTAAGTGTGAAGTTGATTGGTCCAGGCATGTCCAAAGTACAGGTTCGAACGCATGCATGGACGCACAATGGTCAATCCATAATTCCCCGTTTTCGGACTGCGCCCGAACAGGGACACAAAATGTGACAAAATGATGAAACGTACCAGCGGGTTGTCCATGTAGTAGAACAACTGTGACGTTCTTGGTTCAAGCATGAAGTAACGTCGGAAAAACTTCCCGCTATTTTCATTTTCTTCTATATCCAAGTAGCCACAAACTCTATTCTGTCGATCTGTATAAGGCATAGCTATCGAATGCTTGAATTTTATTTAAATCTGGGGAAAAAATAAGAACATCAACAACTATTACTTGTAATATCAAAGAATTTCATGAAAAATTACTGTAAACTTAGGCAAGGGTTTTTCGAACCCACCTAGTCACATAGTTCATACCCACCATAGACTCTGGTCAGTCAAAACGACTATTTTGAACTGTAGGCATTACGGTAATCAGCGATTCTGCCAGTGACAAAGAGATAGAATCCAGGTCAGGGGAAGCCCCATGACCTCAAGATTCTTTTATCCCTTACGTCACGAACCCATGTGACCGAGGCCACCTGGCAGCGCCACAGGTAGCCGTCCATCACTCTGGTTCCTTTCTCTCCGCCTCGAGGACTTAGACCAACGCGACGGAAAGAGTGGGGAGGTTGGGGGGGACCCGGAGTCTATGGTGGGTATGAACTATGTGAATAGGCAGGTTTGAATAACCCTTGCCTAAATTCACTCCGTTCAATTACCCACCATAGACTCCGGTCAGTCAAAATTACTATTTTGAACTGTAGGCAGAGTCAGACACCGATAGGTGGCGGGTTTTTCCGAGCAAACAGAAAAAAAAGGAAGAAAGTCTTTTCCCAGTCCGGGATGAAAACAAACTCAATACCCTAGTTAAGACCCAAAAAAAGGGTGGTGTCTTACCTTGCCTGTGCTGTCCCCGGAGCAAGGAGCCAAAATGCTGCTACGGTAACAGGGTTCGGTGTGCCCGAGA